GGTTTTTTTTTTTTTTTTTTTTTTTTTGACACTTTATTTAATATACATTAATGATGATAAGGAAAAGCTATTTAGGGATATCACCGAAAACGTGTTTTTTTAAATGATTTGCTGACTTTTTGGTTTTCAAATAACTATTCCGCCAAATATTTATAAATAAATAAATTAGAATATTTAGACCTAAATGTAGTTACAATATGTTTTAAAATTAATATTTTTTTTTTGAAATGGTATAATATGATAATTAAATAATTATTTTAATATAATTCTTATTTTAAATAAATTTGATAAATTTTAAAAATTATTCTAAATAAATTTGGGTGGAAGAGGATGACCCATAATTTTTAATAAATATAATGATTACTTAAGCCATTAAAAAATTACAATAACTCTCATAATATCATTATGTTTTTTTTTTCATGCATGTAAAGATATTTCGTAGCGGTTTTAGTACTACAAGAGAATATTTATCGTGACAAAATATTTTACTATGATTTTAAAATGATTGCAATTCTAGCATACTCGCAAGATTAAAATAGCTACAACATAATTTAAGTGACTATAAAGGACAAAATACCGAAAAAAATGTTAGTTATAACGGTTATAATCGTTGCAATTCTATAATATATTAGTTTTGATAAACTTGAATTATAATATGCCAACATATATAATAGTAGGGGTGTCATAACGGGTTGTTGGGTGGGATTCAAGCCTGACTTTAGATTGACCTGTTTTGAATCCATTTGATTTGAACCCAAACTATTTAGTAAACATTTCTATAGTCTAAGCCTGGACCTGACCTGCCTTTAACCCGATTGACCTGAATCAACCCAATAACATGTTTAGATCACAATAACTTTTGTATGGATAGCTAAGGCAACCAATGAGCAAAAGAAATTAAAGAATTTAAGCAAAGTGGAATTATAGTTATAGCTTTCAAACATATTTATATGGAATTTTTCGGTATATTATAATGAAGATTTAATTAATCTAAACTACAGTTACCATGTAATATTGTTATATACATATCAAAATTTCTAATTTATTCTTTGCATGTCAAAATCAAGTCATTTTTAGGTTGGCATGTCAACTTGAACCCAATCCGATAATGAAAAGGGTCAACAAATAAACCAAAAACCAACCCGTTTATTAAATGGGCAGACTCAAATCCAAAATTTTCAAGTCGTGACTACATCGAGTTTTCGAACCGTGTTATATATTGACAAACCAAATATATAATCATTTCAACATAAATCTTATTAATTGTAAGAAAACATTTGCTAGAAATGTCATACAAAACACTTATGCAATGGAATATTAGAACTATGAGGTAGTGATTCAATCACTCAAAATATTTTTAAGTACTAGGTCATGGTCCTTCCAAAGCACCAATCATTACTAAAAACTAACTATTAGAAGAATTTTCATGCAGATTAAGCAAATATTAAACTAAGCAATACTAAGGATTTGTTTGGGACGGCTTTCTGACTGCTTCTTAAACAAGCTTTTTAGTACAATTTTTTATATGTTCTGACCCCAAACACTTGTGTTTGTTCTCTTTTAGAGTATTTAGGATCTATGATTGCTTTGAACACCCTCTATTAACCTCTAAATTTCCACCTTATGGAGTAAGCCCTTCCCTAGATTACAATTAAATAATTTTTTCTATGTATATACAATGAGGTAATATTACCCATCTTAGTCTGATATCCTCAAATGACCAGTAGCCATCCTTATGTATCCTATTAATTCACCATAATTGCAATTGATCCTCTATAGACTATATAAAAAAATAAAGATTACTTGTTTAGTTTCTAAAGAAGTAATATATGTAAATCAATTTAGGAATGAAATTGGTGCCAATATAATGTCTCTAGCTAAAACTCATAAATATGATTCCAATAGAATGGACCATGGTATATTATATGGCATAACATTATCATTGATTTCAATGTGAATCCATATACCTAGCAACATAATCAATATGTGTGCACAAGTGGTCCTTATTCATATGAGGAAATAGAACATATGAGTACAATAAATTTGTAAAGTCTACATAAAATTCTAAATATTAAAGTTTACATAAAGCTTAAAGAATATAAAAAATCTATGAGCTATATGCCATCATCTAGAGTGGAGCCTACCAAGGAGACTCCTAAAATGCATGCTTAGGGGTTGTTGAGTCCCAGTTGTAACAAACCCAAAAATGGTAAGTATTTTAAAATATGAATTTTAAAATTCTGTTTGAATTGGAGCGCTGCAGCACTGAGATTGTGAGCACTAAGCACTAGGCTGGAGAGCACAGCGATACCAAAAACCTCCACCACGGTATTGGAGTCTATGTTATACAATAAATCCTATTTTCACAAGCCGCGCGACAGTGCTGTATCAGAGCGTTGTGGCGGTAGCTATATATATATATATATATATATATATATCATAAACATTAAAATCACCCCAGGACCTCCACCCTCCTCCATTCAGTTGTGATTTGCTCGAGAAGGAAAGGGAGAAGGGGGAGAGGAAGAGAGAGTAAGTTATATGGGCTTTTCTGTCTGTCGATTCTATTGTAAAAAGTGTTTTAATCATTGTAAAAGACTAATCTTTTATTTTTGTTATCAATGATTTTGATTTCTATGAATTTTCTCTCTCATAAATTTGATAAAAAAGCAGTACCTCATGATTTTGTAAGTTTTGACCATGAAATTTTTAATATGTTATATATTTTATCATTTTAAACAAACTAATACGACTTTATTACTACTCATCCACAATATGTCCCTAAAAAATGCTTTCATATCATCTAAGCTGGGTTGCTCAAATTGAGATATTTGTGATTCAAAATAAAAAATAGTATCAACTCCATTTCCCACACCTCGCTGAAAATTCCATAAGTGCGTGCCCCGACCTCTCCGCGCCATCCGTCTATTTTTTAAAAGTGTTTGTGATGACGACATAGAGTTTTAACGAGATTAAGTTCCGGATGAATTTTCAGAAGGCAGATTAGGTTTTAGAAAAGATACTACCCAGAGATTTCGCCGTCATTTTGTGAGGGCTTTTTGATCTGAGTTCTGGTTTCCTATAGGCGCAAGCCCCTATAGTTAATTACCCCTCCCGATAATGAGAGGGAACTTTCGATTAAGGCTAGTCGTTAAAGAGGTCACATATGTCATAAACCTATCGTATAATAGCAAAAGTTTTAGGATTTGAATTTCAAATTTGATTTTGAAGTTTAAGAATTTAAGGTTTACACCATAGACATAAAACATGTGGTGGGGGGAATGAAGACGATCCCGATCAAGATCCCATGATTCCATCGTCCCGGATTGTCATATTTCCTAGTCTACTTAGTCAGAGGAGGTAGTCGACCCAACCTGACAAAAGACACCTTGTCGGCAGCCATGGTTTGCTTCGTCCAAGAATACCTTGTAGACCTAGGTTGGTGTATGTCTAAAGGGATAGATTTGATCCACCTTAGATGACAGAGGCCTTTACGCCCATCAAATATATCCTATGATTCATCGCTCAAGGGTTCGACGCTGTTAGGGAACATACAAGCTTTGGTCGTTATCGTAATATAATGGTGCCATTTTGTGGCAAAACCAACCACTGGCAAGAGACTATTTGAGGATGAATCTTAGTGATACACCTGACATACATTCGCTCTTTGTGAGCTGAGGTTAATTTCAAATTTATCACCGTCGACAAACAATTGTGGTAGGTGGAAGAATTTTAGTTTTAAGTTTCTAAGATGATAGATTTTATTTTAAGAATTTGAGCTTTGTTTGATTTGAGATTTGACCCCTCCGGTTGAGATTTCCGATCAACATGACCATCATCAGGATGGAATTTGAGGTCACTTGTATTTTTGTAGGAATTTGGGAGGCATTTTATACTTCAAGTTATGTCGACTCCAATCCTTTCAAGGAGCATGAAACTTGAATATTTGACCCGCACAACATTCTCAAATCGTTGAATTTGAGACTTAGATGTGACGATTGGAGCACATGCAGATTATTTATTTTGAAAAATATATTGTTATATTAATGAGCATTTGATCCTGTGCAGCTTTATCGAACATTTGTATTTATAACTTTAACATGCTTGTCTAAGCACATGCAGGGTGGTAGCATTTGATTCTACGTAGCATTCTCGGACATTGGTGTTTATACTTTTAACATGTTGACCTGAACACATGCAGGGTGTATTTAGTTTAAGGAGTCATATTTAATATATAAAGGGAAATTTTAAAATATTTAAATATGATCCATTTGCGTTAGCGATTTCATTTAGCAATGCCCGAGATTTTTTTTAAGGGCCTACGAATGCCTTATGTCCGCTTGTACACATGTTGCGAATCCGATGACGTTTTATGTTGTTTGCTGCTTCTTGCAGATAAGTTGTAGTCCTTTCACATTTGTCCACATGCAGCATGTTGAGCATAAAATGGGCCTCCTTCAATGGCTCGTAGGCTTTTAATGTTGTTGTAGTCATTTAACATCTTGTTCGTACACGATATTTTGCGTATATGGCAAGTCTCCTTTATACGATGTGTCGTGTGCATTGCAACTTATTACATTCGTTGCATGTCGAGTTCTTTTATCTGTAGGAGACTGTTGTATAAATCAGGAGTCTTCTACACCAACTCGTTGGGGCTTTCACATATACTTATAAGCTTGATACATAAAGGATTGTTGTTTGCAATCAAATTTCAATTAGCAAGGTAATTGGCACCCATCACACCATGACTAAGTGTGAATTCTTCCTCTACGTCGTTGATATCATCGTAAGGGTTATACTAAATCATGTCATCCCTTTAGCTGTATATTTGATTAACTAATTACAAGTGGAGACTCTTTTAAGGATAATTGTTTGCATTCATCACTAATTTCTAAGTGACTCATTAAAATTTAAGTTCTTATAGTCATGTTGAGTGCAAGACTAGTTCGAGTTCTAGTTTGAGTCCAAGTCCAACATTATTTGATCAAATTTAATTTAAAATTAATTTTATGTTTGAATTATGTTCAAATCAATTTTCAATTTTATGTCCAAGTCCCCTACTATTTACTAAAAATTTCGGCAACCTCCCAGCATCCCCTTCCCAGCGCCCCCTTCTCGGCGCCGGGAGGTGAGTGTCTCAACTTGGCCGGAGCAAATCAACGATGAGCAGATTGGGTCTTCAAGTCTTCAATTCCTCGGTCGGATAAGCTTGACGACCGAGGGCTTCGGGGAATCGAATTAACCCTGTGACTTCAAATTTCTTCAATTTGTTGTACCTATAGAAAATCCTTCCACCTCTCCTCTCTCTTTCATTTTTATTTATTTATTTTAACATTAAAATTAATATATTATTATTATTATTATAGAGAGAGAGGGGGACGGAGAGCAGTTACAGTCAACACCCATATCAATTCCAAATAATATATCCAACAACAAATTTGTTAAAGATTAGGTGATTCTTGACATCTTTCATTGAATGAAAGTATATATTAATACATAATTTACATGAACATAAAATTTTCCCTATAAATTCTTAGTTTAACTTGTAAAATTCAAAAACTATTTAACTCATTTAATGTATCCACAACTCTATTTTGATTTGATAATCTAACTCTCATCCATTTCAACCAGAAATTTACATTGAGATTGGTCATATTAATCCAAGGAAATAAGATCCTAATCCCTTGAAAAGAGGACTTTCATTTTGTTTGTAAATTATGTATTTTTTAATTTGTATATGAATAGAGCATATTCATTTGAGAATAAATATTTTTTGGTCACCCTATTTGTGCTTCTATATGATTATCTTGAATGCTTGTTGCTTGTAATTTTTATTTATTCTTGATTTGCTATTTCACCATATTATTTTTTTTTTCCTTCACTAAAAGCATTGTTGGCAATAGGATAATGATCAAATGGATAAAAAGTAATGAACCACTAAACATGAAAACCAATTATTTGGGCAGTATAAACCCTCCTATGGGCTATGGCCATGAAAGGCATGCCTCTGATGGAAGATACACCAGCTTCATAATAAGATCTAATCTCACTGATTGGATTTGAATCTAGTAAGCATATTTATTATTGACATTTTGGAATCAAAATTTATCTTTATTTTTCATATTTTGTGTTGAGTGTAGTATACAAATTCTATTACTAGTACAATAATAACATCAATCTTTTATCCCACTACGTGGGTTCGACCACATGAATCATTTTTCTCCATTGTGTCCTGTTAAGAGTCAAATTTTTATTAAAATGTAATAAAAAAAATATTCTTTCGAATATTTCCTAATAAAGTCTTTTTAGGTCTACCTCAACCTGTCTTAAAATAGGTTAAGTCTAATACATCTAATTCTCCTAATCGAAACATCCGAAAGCCTATATGTTTTATGTATCCAAACCATCTAAGACGACTCTCTCTAATCTTATCTACCATTGAAGCTACTCCAACATTTTCACGTATATACACTGACATTGTCAAGTCTCAAGTCCTAGATGAGAAAAATGGAGGGCTACGTAAGATAGTCGACAACAAGCATAAAACTTGTCAAATAATCATGACATGAATCCAAATTCTATTATTAATCACATTTTATCTATTGGAAATTTTACGAAAATGTAAGTCATGAAATGCTCACCCCTTGAATTTGAAGCTAAACATATAAGGTGTACAAAGATCAAAATTCCTTTTTCCAATGGACATTTTGATAGTGTTAGAAATTAGTCCGGTTTTAAATTAGATTGATCTGCAAGACATCTTACTAAATATAAATCCCTATAAATAAAGTCTATAGGCTGATATATTAGCCAAGCTCCATTCCCTACAAATTCTCTCCCTCTCTTCCAAGAAGCTCAAGAAGAGCTCTTCTTCCTCCCAAGAAATTATCAACAGATAGAGTGCCCAATCTAAATATGATCTATAGAGCATAAATTTCAGTGCTAATCTGATGTTGTTTACTTCTTCTTATGACTATAGTTCAACTCATGTATGAGATGGAGAGATTGGTAGGGATTACAACTATACCTAAAAAAATAAGGCTTTCAACATGTGATTTGCACAGCTATGGTTAGCATGGCGGCACCGACATGATAGCGGCAAACTAGAGCTGTCAACATTTGACCCGACCTGAAAACCCGACCCGAAAATTTCGGGTTCGGGTCAACCCGAACCCGAATCGGGTCAGGTTCGGGTTGGAGATTTCGACCCGTTTGTAAAACCGGGTCGGGTTCGGGTTGACCCGGAAACCCGGAATCAACCCGGGTTCGCGTCATTCGTCCATTCCATCGCGTCGTCTGCGGTTTGTCGCGTCATCTGCAGTCTGTCGAGTCGACGTCGCGTCCGCGTCGACGGCGTCGTCTGCGCCTCTGCGGTCTGTCCGCGTCAAGACTCGAGCGGCTCAAGCCCATAGGGCATTCCGGAACCGGATCCGCCGTCCGCACAGCCGTTGGCCGCTGTCCTCGCATCGTGCGAGATAGCTGCCGGCTTCCCGCACGCGACCGAAAGAAAAAAATGGAATGGGGGGGAGGCTCGATAAAAGACGATGGAAAAAGAAGCAGTTATTATCGATACGAAGGCTTCATTTGAAAAAGCTTTTTTATTGCATTTTAAAACAGTTTTTTAGTAAAAAATAAGCAGTGAGAAAGTCGTCTCAAACAAAGCCTGAAAAAACCTTTCTAGCTACAGTAAAAACCTCGGCTGAAAAACAAAAAAAGAAGAGTTAATTTTAATAATGCTTAAATTGCTGCTAAAGGATATTTTTTGTAGGTGTTTGAAAAAACGCTACTATATGATGCTATGAAAAGAAAAGAATTTTAATCATGCGCTGCCGCACCCATTTTCTTAAACCTTTGTTGCATGAACAAATAGTTTATTATACACAGCTAAATAACTTTCTTAATTAAGAAAACTCATAAAAAAAACTAATTATTGAAGCTCATGTCTACTAAAACTCCAAACTTCAAATTTCTTACAGTAACATTCACATCAAACAAAGCTTTGAAATTTTTTTCAGTGAATAAATGGAAATTTTCTATATGCTCGGTGCATCTCAACAGCATATTAGTACTCTAAATGCTTAAAACCCACAATAAATATAGCTACCGTTTCCAATTAGAACCTGTAAGGCATAAACTTTACCTGCTTTGTTGGGGCTTCAGGCCTAGACATCATCACTGCAATAAACCTGCCATCAACAAACTATAAGGAGGTTACACGTTATAAATAGTAAGAAAATAGTGAAATAATGAAAGATAAATTGAGTTCACTGGATCATCAAGGAGGATCAAAATATATAGAAAAGTTAAGAACACCTTGCCATTCATCTCCTTAATAGCCAATTTTGTTGATTCTGTACAGGCAAACCATATATATGCCATCCCCAAGGACTCCTTGGAACCTCTGCTTGTAATAATTTTTACTACAATGGCAAAGAGAAAATCAGTGATTTTCCTTCTTTTTCCAAAAAATATAATAGATCAAGTTGGATCTCAAAGTCCATAGATTTGCTTTTAGATGAATGTAAAAATAACCGATCAATATTAACTCATCTCAAAGCATATCTAAGGGCTTTCAACCTATCATATTCACTTTTTTGTCAAGATAATGGCTTCATTTGGAATGGCTTTCTTACTGCTTCTTAAAGCAACTTTTTGTACTGAAAAGTTGCTTTAAGAAGCAGTAAGAAAGCCGTCCAAAACGAAGCCATTATGACACAATTTTTCTTTTTTTTTTCTTGGTGTCATTTGAGAGTTATTCAAAGGAATTAGGTCAAGCATAGATGAAATTTTGATCAGATTCATACGTATGTAAGTTAACTAAATTATAACCGTTATATATATATATATATGTATAGAGAGAGAGAGAGAGAGAGAGAGAGAGAGAGAGAGAGAGATGTACCTTTTCTTATTTCTCCAAATTGTGAAAATTGCTTCAACAAGTATCCTTCAGAAGTAGAGCGGGACAATCCTGCATCATTCATATTCCTTAAAAAAAAACTTCAAGTAGTTGAAAAGACCTGAAGTGTAATTCGCATATGCTGCTAAACATGAAAAAGCTCCGGAAAGAGAAGCTCGCACAGATGGATTTTTCAGTAATCTTACAACGACAAAAAGCACCAGAACAATTGGCTAAACATCGAATGAAATTTAATGAGAGAAGGAAGACATTGTATGGCATCGTCATAATAGTTTCACGTTGCTAATTAAGAAAATAAGAGAACTGGGAAATACTAGCTGTATATTTTTACTTGTGCAGATATGTTTTTAACAAAATATTCAATTTGTATACCCTTTAAATTTTAATTAAGTAATTAAGCTAAAAGTTAATATCAGCTCTATGAGGCATTGTAATCTTTGTGGCCATTAATCAAGGTTGGCCAATGTTGCAAATAGATGTTACTAACACCTTTTATGCTGACTTGAATGAGGTAATAGCATATATGTAGCAACCTCTTAGGTATGTTGCTCAAGGGGAGAAGGCACCTAGAGCACATATGCCTACTCATGAAGACTATTTATTGGCTCAAGTAGATTCCATGGGTGTGGTTTGACAATTATGTACAGTTCCTACAAAAATTGGCTTTTGAAGTAACACTGTCGATTGTTCTATCTTTGTTAAACATACAACAAGGAGTTGCAATAGTTATTTGTGTAGATAATATATTACTCATTGGAAGTGGTAAAGAAGGAATACTAAGTAATAAACTACTTCAAAAATTATTTTGTGACCAAAGTTTAAGGGTTCCCTAATTACTTTCTTGGGATTGAGTCTGCTTTTGACATGAAAGGTCTCTCTTATTTCATATAAAATATGCTATTAAATCTTCTTAAAGAAACAATAATTTTTGGGTGCAAAGCATATCCACCCTCATGGATAACCAAACCTTGCATAATGAGGATGTGTTATATGATAATTGATCTCAGCATCATGCTTTTCTAATGACTAGCCTTAATCAAAAGTACTCTCTTGTTATCGGGAGGGGTAATTAACTACAGGAGCTTGTGTCTATGAGAAACCATACCTTAGATCATAAAATTCTCATGAAATGAGGGCAAAATTTCTTGGTAGTTTCTTATTTAAAATCCAATATGCCTTCTAAAAATTTATCATGGAACCTAATTTATTAAAACTCTCCTCGTCAATGAAAAAATGCGAGGAGAGATCAAGGCACAAATTTTTGGAGCCTACACCACTTACATGCCGGCATTTGAGGATCCATTTAGCATGATGCTTACATCTTCACAAATCCATTTGGCATGACCGGTACACCATACACAACTCCTTAGCCATCAAGGATTTCCACCTTAGAAGTAGATGGCATTCACCCCAACATGGTGGGGGGTTTAATGGGAGAATTTTAGGATTTATAATTTCAATTACAATTCCAAATTTGTTTAGACTTTGAATTCAAAATTGTTTGGTTTCTCTAGTCGGACGTGAGAGAATTGAAGAGACGAGGAAATTAAGAGAGGGAGAGGCAAGAAATTAAGAGAGAATAGATCAAAAATCTCATTTTCATAATATAAATAAATAGAAGGCCTCAGATTTCATGTCTCCAATGATTGGAGAGAGAAGTCCAAGTAGGAATTCCCTACGGGAAGAGAGAAGGATCAAGAACTCTAGGGATCTAATTAGAGGGAGGGAGGGAGGGAAGGAGAGAGGAAAGAGAATATCAAGGAATAACCATTTGAAATTCATAGATAATGAAAATAATATACTCTTTTTTTTTTTTTTACTTTGAATGAATTAAACTCAAACTCACACACATCACCTATAAAAATAATATCATTCTAACATTATTTATAAAAATAAAGTTTACAAATATAAATTAAAATAAAATCCAAAAAAATTGATGGCCATTTAACTAAAAGATAAACCTAACTAAAAATAAAATAAATATATTATGGGCCGATTTAGGTAGGTTTAGTGATTTGTTAAAGCTAGGGATGTAAATGAGTTGAGCTTATCTCGAGTTACCCTTGGTTTGAACTTGAGATTGATCAATTAATTGAGTTTGAGCTCTATCTTTATTCTACGAGTTCAAGTCGACTCAAGAACTAGCACTTTTACTATGAAAGACAAAAAATGAATATAATTTAAGCACTTATTATAATAAAATAATAAAAATTGAGAAATCATAAGAAAAATAATTAAAAAAATAACGTAATGTTAAAAAGTGAAATATAAATTTTAAATATTTTTAACACTTCGTACTTAAAATCCCGAATGCTAGTATATTATAAATGTATTTTATATTAATATTTTTTAAATGAGCGGCTCACAAGCTAACTAGACGAGTCAGGGTTGACTCAAACTTAGCTCATTAGCCCATAGAGCTCAGCTCACGAGCCATTTATTGAGTCAAGTTCGAACCGGCTCACGAGTTGGCTTGCCTCACTTACACTTCTAGTTGAAGTTCATTGGAGTCCCTGTTCAACCATTTTAGGTGAGTAACACGTAACAAAATCCCATCCTATTTGGGACAAATAGAGCTAGTCAGAGCCTCTTTGATTAGGCAAACCTAGCTTAATTTAACTCCCAATTCAGTCTCCCCGAGATGCATCTACTTCATGACCTATTTAGCAACCGTGCTAGATCAAATAGGGTTTTTAAAGAACCTGAGATTAATCTTATTTGTGTATCCATGTAGAAGACGCAACATAGAAGCTTCAAATGAACCTACAAAGATTACAAATGGGAAAACATTGCCTCTAAAACAAATGCTAACTGTATTACCCTCAGAATTCCAGAATAAAAACCATACAGCCAGACACATACCTAAGCATTTCAAAAGCCTGCAACGCAATCAAAACCCTATATTAGCTGGAGAAAAGGACTGAGACAAAACCTTCACCTTTGACAAAGATCCTGGATGAAGAAGGACTCATCTCCTCGGTAGATGCCGCATCGGCACTTGCACAGACAACGGAGATCCTATGTGCGGATCCATTGCAATCCATACTCGTCGACACAAAGTTCTTCAGAGAGACGGAGAAGTGAACTCGGTGGAAAAAGCCTGCCGGAAGCGGGTTGACAGGAGGATTTCTGCGAGGTCGGATCACCGAAGCGAGCGAAGGACCGGAGCAGAACGCCATTAGACGTTCTGCTCACCTTCCGGTGCTTTGCTTGAAGAGAAAGTGCCAGTAAAATGCAAATACAATAAACTATAAAGCCTTTGTTTAAAGGAATGGATAAATTATAATATTATTGTCATGAAATAATTTATTTACAATTTATCAAAAATTTTAATATTACATTATTATCACTCATATAAAATTTTAATATCAAATATATCACTCTTATATTTCATTTTTACTAATCATACCACACTACAAATTTTAATATTTCATTCCATGCACTCATATTTGTTATATAGGTGATAGACATGCAATATTAAAGTTTTAGGTATTAAATATATAAATAGCATGAAATAAACTGGTTTGTACGTAAATCTCCCATAATTTTAATATCAAATAGATAACTCATATATTTTATTCTTATCACTCATACCATCCTATAAACTTTAATATTTCATTCCATGCACACATATTTATTCTATAGGTGGTAGACATGTAATATTAAAGTTTTAGATATTAAATATGTAAATAGTATAAAAAAAGTGGTGCGTACGTAAATATCCCAAAATTTTAATATCAAATATATCACACATATATTTTATTCTTACGACTCATACCACCCAATAAACTTTAATATTTCATTCCATGCACTCATATTTGTTCTATGGGTGATATGCATGTAGTATTAAAGTTTTTTTTTTTTTTGTTGTTTTAAAAGTTTTTTTTTTTTTTTTTTTTGGGAAATTTTGGGGCCAAAGCCCATATATTACTATGAAAAGAAAGGGTTACAAGTAAATTGTGAAAACTGGAAAAAAACTACCCATCATAAGCAAAAACAAAAACTTATGAGGGACTGTAATAAAAAAAATCACAACTATACCACCCAATACATAAAAAAAAAACTATATGTAGAACCAAAATGTGGTAGAAGACTCAAAATAAATTGAACTCAGGCAGCAATCCGAGCAGAAATACCGACTGGAGTAACACGTCAACAATGCTGAAGAATCCCTAGTTTGCCGACGCAAAACCTGAAGCACTCGGTACTCGATGGCTTACAATTAACAAGCATCCACAAGCCAATATCAAAAACACTGGCTCCCAAGCCAACTTATCGGTATTAAAGTTTTAGGTATTAGATATATAAATAACATGAAATAAAATGGTATATATGCGGATCTCATTTGATCGTGCATTATGCAAAAAATGTGACATGAGACTAACAAAGGTGTAGTTTATGTAATAAAAGCAAATAAGTGAGTTATGTAGACTATTAAGCACACTATAAAATATTAACTCAATTGTATTAGTTATTCTAATTAATTCACTAATACTAAGTGCTAAATAAGTGTCCAATATTCAAACACATAATATATGGTAATTATAAAATAATATGCTACTAGTGAAAGTAATAGTAATTTATGTATAAGTGTTGATACATCATATGAAAATTCATTTTATATGGTATGAAATCAAGATAATATTCATATTAGAAAATGTTAAAATTAAATTTAGGATCGTCTGAATTTTAATTTCAATAAGTTTATAGTCAAACTGAATGTCTCCACTTGACGAACCCAACAAAATCAAATGTGATTTTTTCTCACTCCAAATGATCTCGATTCAAGCATAAAAAGTATGATTTGAAACTTTATGCTATTAAATGAAGGATCAAATGATCTCGAAATATTAAGTACTTATAATCAAATTAAGCATATTGATGAGAAAACCAATAAACTCAATATCACTCAATTCTAAGATTAATGGTAAAAGAGATAAATATAATCAAATTTGTTCAATTGAGCATTATGATGGAGTGTTATAAAATTTTAGTTAGATTTATCATAATGACTATCTCAAAATTTATAAATAGAATTGCATTCTCCATATAAAAGAGATATTAAATTGAAATCGGAGAGGGCTTAGAAATTTGAAAAACTTTAAAGCTTTGTCTGATATTTGATGTCGAAGATTATTTCAAGCAATTATCATCATTTGACTGTTGTCCCCAATTTGGCGTCATCCAACTATCATTGCATGTATATTGTCATTTGAATGCCATTGTTCAACTATCTTTATACGACTCTTGTTGCCCAACTGTCATCATCAAATTATTTTCGTCTGATTCGCATCATCTAACCACCATCATCGTCCCTCTAGCACATCTACAGTAATTTCTACTACAATTATAGGAGACTAACCTTGACCTCATTATTTTGCATTCTTGTCTTCTCCAATTAAGGGAAAACCAAACCTTTATAATCTCTATCAAATATAGCGGCTCATATCATCTAGTCCATGCCACGTAAGTTATTTCCTAATTTGAGTTTTTCACATAAAAACTCTAATCTCTTGGGTGCTATTTTATTATCGTGTCAATCAAATATTTGTGCAAAGCTAAATAAAATTCTATCTCTGCTACCATAATTTTTTTTGCATGCAATTATTAGGTACCATTTATGGGAAACATTATAAGCATCATCCAATTTTTTAGTGGTTGGAAATCAATCCATCAATAAAGGAAAAAATAATCCAAATGGAGAAGTCCACTCAAGCCTTACTTTGGAGCATCATATGTACATAATTCTCATACTACAATATCTCATTTGCCACAACCTCATTAAGATATCTCAAACCTACTAGTTCAACTTATCCATCTCATATTACTTGGCCAACCCAAAATCTTTTGACAATCTTGATAGGCTTGAATCAACCCGATCTTATTAACACCCCTCGTGATGTTATATGAGATGAACTTTGATGCGTTTTATAGGAAGAATTCTCTTTAAGGGGTAGAAATTAGCTTGCTCGGACCCATGGCTTTCAAAAATCTATGCATCTAATTAATTTAATTCTCCAACGTTCTATTTAAGTGGGGTTCAAGTTGTCTTCAATTAATGCTTATGATGAGGAGCCTTAGATTCTTATGAGAAAGTATATCAATCAGTATAAGATCATCATTCAGATTCAATGAGCATATGATACAATCGTCTTCTAGGCATTTCTCATAACTTTTAAAGGATAAACTCGAAACCGGTTCTACTCTCTATTGTAGAACTGTTCATAATTTTGCGATCTAAACAATACTTTCATTGAACAGTTCGCCGCCAATTAGAGGGTCATCAAGAACTTCTCAAAATGAGAGAGATTATTATGAAGTACTTTAAAAGATTCTCTTTTAAAGCATATTAAATATTGAGAGTGAATGCAGAGTTACTATGAGATATTTTTCTTGAAGGTTTTTTTTTTTTTTCATGAACTTTTATACTCCTAATTGATGCAAAAAATGGTTTATTCGTATGTTGATCTTATTAATTTAGTAAATGTACAAATAACTACTAATAAAGCCATCATCACTCATTGAAAATAGTTTGAATAATTTTTAAATAAATGCAAGAGCTCACAATAAGAAACATACCAACTTCCTCAACAAAGAAACCAGGAGTAGTTAAAGGTGTTAGACACACCTCCACTAAATTCAGTACTCTAAAAACTAGCAAAATTCCTCTATATTATACGCTATTAAACACATCCAAGATCAATATTCTATGGAGATATAAAATTTTAAATACCTCAAGTGGCCAAAACGGCAGCCTTTTGATGACTCGGTTATGAAAGTAGATGTATTAGATTTGACTTATGTTAATAAAGGTAGAGATAGGCCTAAAAGACTTGGTTAGGAAATATTAAAATTGACCTTTCTTTATTAGATATAGTTGAGAATCCGACCCTTAACAGGACACAATGAAGAAAAAGGATTCATGTAGTCAACCCCACATACTGGAATAAAGGCTTATTGTTGTTATTGTAAGTGGCCAAAACCTTTAAAAAAATTCAAATGCTAGAGATCGGTCCAAATTTTATCATTAGCACCGTTTAAGAGGGCATTTGACAAAAGTGGAAGACATTAAATTTCAAGCTCTCCTAAGATAATTTTGATTTTTTTTTTATAAAGCTATTTTAATTGTACAAATACATATATCACTTTGTATTTTTTCATGCTAAAATAATTATTTAAAAAGAGAAAATGACATTAATACAACAATGAAATGCAAGCGTTTGAAATAATTTGGAGTCTCTAAACTTTTGTTAACAACTCATCTTCTTAAGTGAAGATAAATATGCATAAAACTACTTAATTATGAGTAAAAATCAAGAAAATATAACTTCAATTTTCTATGTTTTAAAAATATATTCCAAATAATATTTCTTTATATATCACACTATTGCATGGAACTCTCATATATCAAAAGGGTAAGCAGATTTTCGACAAATTTCAAGTTGATAGTTTCTTTTAGCATATAAAATGATGAGAACTTCGTCCTCAGAGGATTGGGATATTACTCTATTAGCCAACTAATGGCGTTAATTTCATGTCGATTGAATATATGAATAATAAGTTATGAAAATTTTATGTGGATTTGTCATAGCAAATGACTTACATGAGTTATGGTTTTGTGAAGGAGGCCTTACTCGCCTTTTTGTGAGTATTGGGTAGTTTAAATCTATGGAAATAAGGTTTCATTTGGGACAACTTTTTTCGTTATTTTCTAAAGCAACTTTTTGATACAAAATTTTCTATTTCAAAAAAATTTTGAACTAAAAAGCTTTTTAGAAAGCACTAAGAAAGTTGTCCCAAACTAAGCCTAAGTTCAGAGGACGAAAGACATATATTGAGGTTTATACATCCTAACTACGTTTAATTCGTAAATCAATCCAAAAGCACTCGTAGCACCAACTCCTTGAAGCCACAATTTTTTTTGCGAAAATCAAAGCTAGTTTTCATTGAAGCAATACTAATATAAATGATAGAAATTGTAAAAAGAGAAGTAAAACATGAATACTTGAAAAATTGTTTAGATAAATGACATAGTCAATTTCCCCTTGCTCAATAGATTTCCCTCAACCTGTTATTTTCTAGAATTCATGGATTCATTAATTTCTTCCAAGGTTTTTCCCTTGGTTTCTGGCACTATCATAGCTACAAACAAAACTGTTGCTGCATTGGCTGCTGCGTAGATGAAAAAGGTACCTGAAACGAAAATGATTTAGGTTTCGTTTGGGACAGCTTGCTTACTGCTTCTTAAAGCAGCATTTTAGTACCAAAATTACTAAAAAGTTGCTTTAAAAAGCTGTACGAAAGCAATCCCAAACGAATCCTTAGTCACAGTTTTCCTCTAAAATTTGTAAGGTGTAACCATTGGAAAAGAAATTTGAAAAAAAAAAATATAAAAAATTCAAATTATTAGAATCTCATGGCTTTCAATTAACAATAATCATATTTTTCTCATATTTTTCTCATATTAGAAGCATATTGGTTTAGCTTTCAGTAAAAAAAATGCTGTGCATTCACTGCAATTAAGTACTTAAACTGGAAGTTTTTTTTCTTAACATACCTGCACGACTCCAGTCCATTAGAAAATTGAAGGAGTAGGAGACTAACCAGGAGCCAAACCAGTTAACTAAAGTTACTAAGCTTCCACCTGTTGCTTTAATGTTAATTGGAAATATCTGCAGCAAATCACAAGTTAATCTCTTGTTAATCTTAAGCAAAAGGCTTTGAAAATGTGAAAATTGCAATGAGCCTTGCTTTCATTAGGGGCGTAAACGAGCCGAGTATGAGAGATTTCAACTATTATTCCACTTTGCTCGTCGAGTATACAAGCAGATTTGTCTGCTCAGATCTGCAACATGAAGCTTATTTGAAAGCCTTAATGTCTGACATAAATAGAGAGAAAGGAAGAGATGATTGTATTATCGAGTTATTAACCAATCGAATATGGGGAGATTTTGTTCTGTGAACAAAGTTTTATTTAGGTATCGTTTGAGACCGTTTTTTCCGCTGTATTTCATTATTTTCAAAGCATTTTTGTACTAAAAAGTTGCTTTAGAAAACTATAAGAAAGTTGTCCCAAACGGAGCCTTGGTGTTATACCTCCGACATGATGACCCAAGGAACTGCTCCCATGCCAATTGAAAATGCTGAAATATATACCTGTAGAACTCTGTGAAAATTAGAATTTTTGTGAACCATAGATGAGGAAATATAAGTTATAACCTTTATATATCATGAACTGTTTTATACTAGGAAAATAAAGAAATTCAATAGCAGTATTCAATGGTAAGAATTTGCGTACCAGTATGCCAATAAGTGCTAACATAGGAACCCATTGTAAGAGTATTCCTTGGCCCTGTTGCACAAGCATTTATATCTCTTTATACTTCCATTTCCTTATAAATTTCATTTTAACTCTTCCAATTCCTTCAGACTAAAGAGAACTTTAATGACTGCAGAAAAGTTAATAATAGCTTTCCATTTACCTTTAAAAAGAATGAAGCTCCGGCCATGAAAGTGCCAAAGCATGTTCCTGATGCAGAAACCTGTAACATCATCAACATTAGTTGACTTGAAATGTAATTTTGATGCAGAAAAAAACAAAAATCTACACATTTCCCTCTACTTACTATCAGAAGAGCTCTTCTTCCACTTCTATCCATGAGAAATGCACCCAGAACTGTTATTGGTAACTGAGAAATTGCAGATGGTTAAGTGTTGGGAAATAAAACAGGAATTTGGCTAAGGATTTAAACCTGAATGAAACCACACAGAATTGTTCCAAGTTTGCCTGAAGAGAATCCTGAAAATTTTTTTATTGAGCAAAAAGCTTACAAATTGATGATAAAAGTTAGTATAAATGTCATTATATTATTACAATTACTAATACCTGCTGCTACAAATGTTTCACTTGCATAGAACCCAATTCCATTAATCCCTCCAATTTGCTGAAATACCATAAGGCCTACTCCAACCTGAGAACCATTCACTACTTAGTCAATTTAATCTGTAATATTTTGTATATAATAAGATGAGAAGATTGGGTTTCTATGGTTCTTCTCACAATGACAGAACGGATATATCGCCTCTGAAATAGATCTAAAACTCTTGCCTTGGGAAGTTTCTCAAGTGTTTCAATGTATTCCTGTCAATTCTGATGGTTTTCAGCACTTCTATCATGCTTTCTTTGAGCTAAAACAGTTTTTTTATGAATTTTATAAGATAAGAATATCAAACAAGAATTTCTGCTGCTTCTTGGGAGATGTCAGCTTCCTTTCCATGCAGCTTCTGTAAGGAAATATTGAACTCTATGTGTCGCCCAACCTTTGCCTGTGAAGATTTACAGTGTTTCAGAAAGACATTTGCAGATTGGTTAAATATTGTTTCATTAAGATTGTGTTGTTTTCATACCAGCCATCTTGGTGATTCTGGAACCCAGCAGAGGCCGAAAATGAGAACAAGGCAAGGAACCAGTCCTGTATGATTAGCCCATTGATGTATCTATCATTTCACATATTGTTAATATGGACATAATTGCATTTTAAAAATACAAAAGTTGTTTGATTATATATTTGAAATTTTCATGATACATTTCAAAGTGCTTTGAAATCCGAACTAGGACAGGGGCAGTAGAAGAGAATTGGGAAGGGAAAACAACAGTGACACTGGACAGGAGGGAGAAGTGGGTGACGGACACAGCGCGAGCTGCAGGAACTGGCAGCTCAAAAAATTCCCAAGAACGAGCTTCTTGGATGGGCAACACCACCTGATCTACTCAGGATACATAACCCATAGAAACAGAACCTAAACACATTTTATTGTTCATCTCCCTCTTTTACAAGATAGCAGCCTGTTACATATAATAATGTGTATGCTGCTTAAATGGTCATAGCTCTCACAAAAACATAAAAACCAAACTATCTAATTATATGTAGCTAAAATAAGAACTGAAGTTTATTAGCTACTAAACAGAGCAACAACGCCAGCGTCAAACCGCAAGCAGTAGCGACAGCTAGCCTTCAGAGGAGGATTCCAAAAGTGACCAATTTTGATGATTTGCAAATGTAGGGAAATAGAGCTATTGTGCTATCTCCAATCCCTCAATTTTTTAACTTTATATTTCCATGACCATAGTACTTTCAATCCCCAATTACTTTTCATAATCATTGTTGCGTCCTGGAATATTCGCGGCGGTAGAGAAATATATAGTTTAACGTCTTAGCATTGTACGAAGATCCAGCACACAAGCAGATAAGAAGAGACTAAAGATTTCTACCTAGTAATACCAACTTGCGCCAAGTGACAAATGCACCAAGTATGAAAGCAGCTGAACCTCCAACACAGATCAATAACTGCATGGTTAGTAAGAGTTACCATTAATGCACAAATTAGGAATCAGTAAACATTTTATGTGTATCTTTCTATATTTCATTGATCACTCTGATATAAATCTCCCAACCTGGTTAAGGGTAGTGAGGCCTCCCCTTAAATTCTTTGGTGCTATTTCAGCAATGAACACTGGCACCTGTAAAATGATCATACTATGTTTCATACTGTAATGGTAAGCAAGAACATCAAGTATTAACCTGGAGACATACCACATAAGAGAGGACTCCAATTCCATAGCCTGAAGCAAATCTCCCAAAGTAGAGCATCAAAGCATTCTTTAGAATGTAAATTTGTTCAATCAGATTGGTTTTCTTCCTAATCAGCAATAACTAGAACTATTATATTTAGGTTTCGTTTGGGACGATTTTTTTCATGTTTCTTAAAGTGGCTTTTTAGTACAAATATTATATTTTTGATACTAAAAAGCCGTTTTACGAAGCAGTAAGAAAGCCGTCCCAAACGAAGCCTTATATATATACAATATACATATAAGAGATGACAAACCTTGGCGAGGAGAACAGAAAGCCACCCTATGATGCAGAAAGCAGCTGAGATTCTCATTGCCTTTATCAATGAAAGAACAAATTAGAAATGATTAAAGATTTGTTTGGGACAGCTTTTTTGCTGCTTTCAAAACATTTTTGCATTAGAAAATTGTTGTAGAAAATAATAAGAAAGATGTCCCAAATGGAGGCCAAGGCTTTGTTTGGGGCAACTTTCTTACTGCTTCTTAAAGCAGCTTTTCAGTACAACAAATAAAAGTTTATACTAGAAAGATGCTTTAAGAAGCAGTAAGAAAGTTGTCTCAAACGAAACTTAAAAAAGAATTTGATTTTCATGATTAAGTAAAGTGCTTCTTACTCCTTTTCGGCCGAAAAAATCAGCAATACGTCCACTTGTAATAGCACCAATCATGGCACCAACTGTAAGAATTGAGCCAAAGAAAGCATACTGCAAGTAATAATTGACAAATTAAGAATGTTGATGCTGCATTGTTTTCTACAATTTTCTATGTGTAGCATAGAACTTAGACAATATGTAAATAAACTGATACAATGATTTCTGAATCTCTACTGGTGAATAATGTTTAATGTATGTTTGCAGAATCATTTAAACACATTAGAAAGAGAGAGAGACAGAGAGAGATCTTAAGTCTGATAGAAGTCCTCATATGTAACTTAGGCTTTGTTTGGGACGATTTTCTTACTGTTTCTTAAGGCAACTTTCTAGTACAAAAATTTTAATTTTTGTACTAAAAAGCTAGTTTAAGAAGTAGTAAGAAAGCTATCACAAACGAAGCCTTTTTTTAGCACAAGCAAAGCCTTAGTTAACCTAATTCGAACAAATTAGGGTTTACAACATCAACAAAAGAAATTTTAAATTAACATAAATAGCATTTTTCTATTATCATAAGTAAGACCAAAAATAATGTAAATAAATTACATTAATTAATACACATTTAACTTGAACATTAAAATGGCTCAATAATTGAGCTCAATAAACCAAAGCTCCTCTCAACCATGCTACTAAAAAACTTCTTTAGAATACTTTATTACTTATTTGAGTTATTTCTATCTTAAGTACAAAATTAGTGTTATATACGATATCATTAATTATATTAATTTTAGTATAAATTAAATAAATTTCAATGGTATACTTCATTAGAATATTTTGATATAATTTTTTTTCAAAAAAAAAAAAAAAACTTATAAACTTCCGAATTAAGATTTTGCTCGGAAAAAAAACTTTTTTTTGGTAGAATATAATGTTATAATATGTATTAAAATCATCTTAAAAATTAATATATATGTTGTAAGATTAATATCATATAAGAAGAATTTATATTATACTAATTTAAAGTAAATTTAATAATATTTTACTTCATTTTAATATAATTTACATTAAATATTCTTTACAAATTTTTCTTCCTTTTGAAATTTTTTTTATTTAAAAAAAATTATTTCCTACCCTAAAATTCTTGCATTTGTACCAAGCAAAGAATGCACAAATTATTGGCTTTTATAATCTATATGGCTAACACTAATTATTGTTTGGCTTCCAAACTTATTTATAGGACTAGTCATGTCAATTAGACCTTCAGAGATTTTTGCAATTATGAGAGAGGCGAAGCCACATTATTATCTTTGGGAAAATT